ATACGGCGTCCTTATAAGGCAAATGGTGAGCGTTAGGAGCGCTTGAAGAACCACGTGATGAAAACCCAGGTGGTGGACCACGTAAGCCAGACGAAGAGTGAACGGCATCAGGTGGTTGGGCAACGTCTCGGGTCATATGCTGAAGCGATGACTTCGCAAATGCTGACTTTCGTGCAGAAGGGAGGCGCGTTCCATGGCTGTGTTTTTCCCAAAATACGCGTTGTCGTCTGCCACTGAACTCGTGTGCCACTTCGTCTTTTGTCAGAGGTCGAATCTCGTTGTGCGTTCGAATGGTTGAAGACTGCCTGTAAAATTGATGAATGAGTGCAGTTGTCTGTGGATGGTGGGTTACAAACAAGTCTTCGTCGTAGTCGTCATCGTATTTTTTAAACCAAACGGTCATTTCTTCTTTTATCTTTTGCCAAGACTCATCGTTGTCAAATATGTGGGTGAGGTAAAATTTAAATGCCTCACCGGTGACGTAGTCGCTGAAGTTCGTAACCATTTCCCGTTCCGACCAAGATGCAGCGGCAGCGTGGAGCTCGAAAAGGTTGAACCAGTCCTGTACGGGTCCATCGTCCGCTGATCCGGTGTACTTGGTGATGTCAAGGTCGTCTGATGGCGCTGTCATGATGCTGGCCTTGGTGTAGAGTTGGGATGTACTTTTGTGGTCCACGTTCGGTCAGTGCGTCTTGCTGAGACGTTCGAAGATGGTGGCCGGTTGATGAAGTGGCCGCCAGGTCTTCATCCTGTCGACTCGTGTGACGCCATGATGAATGGCAGACGTGACCTTGTGCATACCCCATGTTTATTCTACTCTGCACTTCTTCCTCATCTACTTCTCCTAACCATCGCTTCATACGTCATATATATATATATATATATATATATATATATATATATATATATATATATATATATATATATATATATATATATATATATATATATATATATATAACTTTGAGCGATTTCTGCAACTGGTGACATAACGCGAAGAAACATGGATGAACATGTTATAATGTAAAATTGAAAACAATATACATAGAAGCCCCTCATTTTTTACAAGAAACTAAATAAACTGCACAAACGACGTTTCACGCATCGAATAGACTCATGACATACCGGAATAGTGTTGAGTTTTTTTTCTATTGACCCGAAGATTGACATTCGTATAGCACAGTGGTCTTGTGGTAGTCCCACTCGCTATGTCTTCTGGCATTTTCGAGCGCGTTCTTACAACGCGGGAAAGGAAAGATGTCCAAAGCACCAAACGTTTGGTGAGACCTCTTGCCTGAAATTCTGAACTTCTTTTCCAGAAAAAAAAACGGCAGATCCCACGTACAGTGAGAATCAATCATATGCGAAGCACCAATGTGGAAAGTTCAGGAAATGAGGAAAGCGTTTCATCTTTGAAAGCAAAGCTGAGCATGCCGCTGCTTGCTGTGCACAGGCCAATTTCCAGATTATGTTTTTTTTTTCCGCATCCTGTATTATTCTAACACGTCATTTGCCCGGGCGCCTATTTTACCGCCATCTCATACTTCTAGTCACACCAATCACGCTTTCAAAATTAACCACATTTTCAGCCATACAGAAAAATACAAAAACTCGCCATTAACATTATCAACAAAAATGGAACGCATTACCTTCCGGAATTGCCAATATACCTGAACCTTTTTTGTTTAATTTATATTCGTTAGCTTATATAGAACTATGTAACTTTCACTAACAATTGTGCTTTATCCGATGTGTATTGCTTGTTGTATTCCTTGCCTTAATGTGGGAGATGATTTAGACTCCAACCAATAGTTTTGAAGAAACCCGACGTTTCGAAACCGCCTTGGTTCCTTCATCATGGGTGACTGTGGGGACTACGTAGCAGTGGTGTCTTCAAAGCACTCGCGTGGTGGATAATGACCCCCCCCCCCTCTCTTTCTCTCGTTTTGCCGTGGAGCGCAGTCCACGTGCATACACTGGGGGAAGGGTTCCGAGAGAGCGGTTGTTGTTATGGGCTGTCCTCTGTATGTGCCACGACTCGAGTAACAACCTTCTCCCCAAGTTCGGCTCGCTTTCAAGGATGGCCGTCGCTTCGAAATTTATCCGGTGATCCATCGCCTCTTGATGTTTATGAATTTCTGTACCATTAGATTGTATTAACCTACAATAATTCATTCTCTGCGAAAATTTGGATTTATGTTTTCACCTATGTAATGCCCTAATGGGCCCTTAGGGTACTTGAATATATAAATTATGAATTATTAAAATAAATAAATAAATAGGTCACGTTAAAATCAACATAACATCACGAGGCAAATGTACATTATGCCGTAAAAGACTTCCTTGTCGTGATTATCATGTTCGTACGTGTCATTTACTTTCCTCGTCTATTAATGTCATGTTATACCAAACTTGGTATAACAAGCTAGTGTCGAGCTAGTGAAACGGCCGCAAGCACGCTGTTAGCGTAGCTATAGTATAGACGTTTTACACGACACGCATGGCCTGATTATCATGTTTAGACGTGTCATTCATTTTGGTTCTTTTCGCGTCACGTGATAACCAATTTGGTATATGTAATGCTAGCGAAATGGTCGCGAGTGCATCATTAGCGTGCTTTATTGTCATGTTCTTACATCACACACAAGTCGAGATTGTCACGTTTGCACCAGTCATATACCTCTGTCATTCATTGGCGTCACGTAACACCAAATTTGTATATGTGAAGCTAGCAAAATGACCGCCAGTGAAGTATGAGTGTAGCGTGTAGTCATGTTACATGACACGCATGTCATCATTATCATGTTCGGGCTTGTTATTTACCTTTGTAGTCCATTCGCGTCACCTAATACGTAACTATGTGTATGTGAAACTAGTGAGACAGCCGCGAGCGTATCATGAGCGTGGCATGTAGTCTTGTTGTTACATAACGCCCACCTCATGATCATCATGCTTGCACAAGTCACATACCTTTGTCATCCGTTCATGACCCGTAATACCAAGTTTGGGATATGTGAAGCTAGCGAAACGGCCGCGAGCGCATCATGAGCGTGGCATGTAGTTATGTTCTAACATGACACGCATCTCATGACTGCATGTTTGCACCAGTCATATACCTTCGTCATACATTCACGTCCCGTAATACGAAATTTGGTATATGCGAGCGTTGTCTGTATTCCATGAGCGTTGGCTGTATTCAGCTTGTTAAATGACATGCATGTCATGATTTCCCCGTTAGTGTCTGTTACTTGTGTTCGCCGTGTAGTCATGCCATACCATAACAGTTTTGCAACATGTCATGCGAACGAAGCCACTGCAAGAGGAGCAAGACCATGAAATGTATATCTTGACATTAATGACATACACGTAATGATAGGGATGTTGTCATACGAAGTTTGGTATCGATACGATTAACGAAACGGCCAGGAGAGCTAAAAGTCGTTGGCGGCTAGTATAGATAGATAGATAGATAGATAGATAGATAGATAGATAGATAGATAGATAGATAGATAGATAGATAGATAGATAGATAGATAGATAGATAGATAGATAGATAGATAGATAGATAGATAGATAGATAGATAGATAGATAGATAGATAGATAGATAGATAGATAGATAGATAGATAGATAGATAGATAGATAGATAGATAGATAGATAGATAGATAGATAGATAGATAGATAGATAGATAGATAGATAGATAGATAGATAGATAGATAGATAGATAGATAGATAGATAGATAGATAGATAGATAGATAGATAGATAGATAGATAGATAGATAGATCAGATAGATAGATAGATAGATAGATAGATAGATAGATAGATTTACGCTTGAGGTCACTGAAGTTCGCTAAGAAATGCTTCGCATTTAAAAGCAATCATCTTTCGAAGCGAGCTCCCTCCTAATAGTTAATAGGGCAGCCAGGCTACCATTTCTAGTCAGAGAGTTTGGAACATCAGTTAGCGCTTACTAACTGAAGAGAACGTGTAGTTTACACCTGGTTTTTAGGGCATAACTAAGCAAACGTCGTCTAGCCTCATGGTCCTGCATATCCTGGTTCTTTGGCCCTTTAAAGACGCAACGACCAATGTCGTTGTCGAGAATCACGGTTTCTGTGCAAGCACCAAGCTCCGATCAATTTTCAGGGGTTCTTTCGACTCACTAGTCGTACTCAGGCAGTGCAGAACTACAGCTGGGAACCGTTTCTTCGGCTCCTGTAGCCTCTTCGCTAGTTTTCGAGTGTGCACTAGGGCAAGCGCCTCCTTTTCCAGAAATAATCATCAAGCACTACCGTACGGTGTTCCGGTGCGGCTATCGAGTCTCATAAAAGGGCGCTCATTGACACAGAACAAAAACTACCCACCAATACGTGTAAGCTTCGTATTTCATGGGAGTCACTTCACATCGATCAGCAAAGTCTGGGCGGTTACACTGAATTCGAGTAGTGAGAACTTTAATGATACTACATGTCGGCTGGTAATGTTCGGCCTTAAGCAGTAGCACTAGTTTGTCCCCTGGCGGTAAGATTCGCAGGCACACATTTTCTTCACTTCTCTTGAGGTGCCTGTAATGTTGCGCTTGCCCAGTATCCCACTCTGCAGCGTGCAAAACATCTTGCGTTTGTGATTGCACCCCTACAGACGGCTAGTAGGTTCTGTTAGACTGTGATGCCATACCACAAGCCTGAATGTACGCGAAGAAGTTGGTGCCAGCAGTGAAATTCCGGTGACTCGCATCAGAATGCCCACAACAGACAACTGACAGGCATGAACGGAACGCATTATAGCGTAAGTAAACTCGTGTGGCGTGTGCTGGCCGTTCTCAGGGTGGTTCACGCGTTCTGAGAAATTGATTATAGTACACTATGCTCCGAAGAAGACCAGTGTTCATTCTTTCATCGCTAGCGAACCAATCACTCAAGATTTTGTGTGGTATGAGGCTACTTCTGTTCTCGCCAGCGTAAGTCTTGTAAACATGAATTCACGTACGAGTTGGAACAGTGGATAAGTGGCATATTTATGCTTCACGGTGAAATATTTGGTACGGTTCTGAATCTGTTGACGTAAAAGGAAATCAAGGCTGCACGCCTGAAACAATGGGAGACGCCTTGCCGCAACACTGTCGTTTCAGGGAGCAGAGTGACGAAATCTGCGAGAAAAAGACGAGAACATTAGGTGTTTATACGCGTGTTTAAGTTTTCTAGCACATATACGAAGCTAACAAGCTATTTATATGTAAGTATGCATAGTATGGTTCCAGGTAGATTTTCTGTTCAGACCAACTCAACGTTTCTCAATATTGATTACGTTGCCCTTGGAGATTTCACGATAAAACCTGTACAATTCTAGTAAAACATTACTATCAAAAGTCGCAGTGCAACTGTAATGCCAACCAAGGTTGCGAGAAAGTCTGCCCGAAAAATAAGGCATGCGATATCATGCTGGCAACGTGCAGCATTACTTACAAAATATTAGTGCATATCACAAGCATGCATGGATGCGTGCAATAAAGTAAAAAATATAGACTGAAAGCAATCACAGCGTCAGGGCTGCTTGACATATAAAGCAAACATCAGTCAATCCCATAAGCATGTAGTTACAAACATTTACAGTCAGAAATTAATCGCTCAGCAAAGTAAGAAAAAATGGAAATGTTTTAAATGTACAGAAACATGCTGCGTATACCTCTAATTTTGCGTTGTAAGCGAAGCCATCCTTGACTTGTGAAACGCACTTTGCCATGATGAAAAGTACACCATCTATGCTTAACAGAGATAACAAATTAATGATGTAATCTCCAATCGTACGGGTCATCCAACGATGCATTTTCAGTTCATTCAATAACGCAATGAAAGGCCGTTGCTCGAAATGGTCACTTCACCAGCCGGTTACTTTACATTCCTGCGATTACTTTTCTAAGAACGCCCACATCATTTTAATGCATGAGGAGGGAGACGTAAAGGTCTTGAAAAATACGAAGGCGAGCAGTTTACTGTCCATTCTCTACATATAATTTACAAAAGACTAGTTGATAGAATTAAGACGACATCAGAGTTTAATCAACCAAAGGACCAAGCCATATTTTGTACAGGCTATCCCATAATATACCATATTCTTACTCTCAATCAGGTAAATAAAATGCGCGAAATACAACCAACTCCGATATAAATAGCATATATAGATTACGAGAAGGTGTTTGACTTTTTCGTGACATCAGCAGCAATTCAGTCACTACGGAATTGAGACATCCAGGAACCAACATAAGCATATTATAGAAATCTACAGTGGATCCACAGCCACCAAAGTTTTTTATAAAGAAAGCGGCAGAATACCAATGAAGACGGGTGTAAAGCAGTGAGACACGAACTCTCCATTGCTACTCACCGCGTGTTTACAGAAGGTCTTCAGAGTCCTTGATTGGTAAGAGTTAGCGATAAGAGTTAATGGAGAGTATCTTAGTACTCGGGAATCGATTACATTGCTTTGGTGAGTAACCCAGGGGATGAATTACAGGTCATGTTTACTGAACTAAACAGAGAAAGGATAAATAGGTCGGAAATTTATATGCACAAAACTGAAGCATTGTGTGTGTGAAGAAGAAGATGCGCCTGCAGCGAGCAGCATTGCCAACGCCCGGCTCTCTCGGCTCGTGCTGCGGTTCACTGCTGTGCCGGTATCTGCTGGATAGTTCTTCACGCTGCCTAGCCGCTGTCCTTAACGACCAATAAACCTCTTCACATTTGGTGGAGGGTGCTGTTTATCTCCCGTCGCTACACCCTAAAGCTTCGAAGCCGCACGCTTACCGCCCGTCATGACTGACAACGCCAACCCTTCGTCACCTTCACTCCAGTTCACTTGCTCTGGCCACCCGAAGCTACGGGACCCGAAGGTCTTCAGTGGTGCGGATGGGACCGACGTGGGAAACTGGCTCGAGCACTACGACCTGGTGAGCGCCAATAATAAGTGGGATGAAGCGGCAAGCTCGGCCACTGTCATTTGTTAACATACTGGCGTCGCCGAATTGTGGCTTAACAGCCACAAACACAACATCTTCACATGGATCGTCTTCAAGACGTCATGTGCTTAAGTGTTCAGTTGGCTGGCTGTCCGCAAGCAGCGGGCAGGACAGCGCTTGTGCGTCCGCTCTCAGCAGACTGTAGAAAACTTTACCAGCTTCATTGAGGACGTCGTCGATCTTTGTCGACGTGCGAATGACACCATGCCTGAATCTGACAAGGTCAAACACATCCTGAAGGGCATCGACGATGGTGCGTTTCAAATGCTCTTTGCTAGGAATCCAAGCACAGTTTCTGAAGTCGTCAGCTTGCGTCAAGCTACGACGAGTTGAAGAAGCAACGCACTCTGAGGAGCGAAGGAACAGGATTAAGGATATCATAGTTGAAATCAAGAAGACGAAATGGACATGAACCGAGAAAATAGCACGTAGTCAGGATTACTTCTGGTCATTAAGAGTAACTGACTGGATTCCATGACAAGGCAAGCGCACGAAGTGGAGACAGAATGTTAGGTGGGTGTGATGAGATTACATGAAATTCGCAGGGATAGCGGAGCTGCAGAGAGCAAAGGACCATGTTGATTAGTTGATCATGACAGAAGCATTAGCCCTGCAGTGGACGATGTCCCTCTGATGATGAGGATGACTTTTCTTTTTACTTACTCTCTCCACAAGCTTACGCATAGGGAGAGGGAGAGTCTCGCGACTTTTATATTTATGTACACAATATTCAGCTCAAACTACTGCCGATAGTTGCGTCACAGAGAAAAGCTATTGTCCTGCACTCCTTCCCGGTCGGCTTGGTGATGAACCCCCCCCCCCCCGAAAAAAATTCTGACTACGCCTCTGAGAAGTGACAAGTCATTACATAAATCATGACATGTATGCCATGAGTGCCATGGTTTACATGTCACGGTCTTGTTGCTGTTGCGGTGGTTTCGGTCACGTGACATATTGCAGAACTGGTACGGTATGACATGACTGAATGGAGAACATAAGTAACAGGCCCTAACGTGGAAATAATGCCTTACATATCCTGTGAATCATTACTACAGGGCAACACTCATGATGCGCTCACATTCGTTAGGCTAGTTTCACATATACCAAACTTGGTATTACGTGATGCAAACGGACGACGAAGAAGATTTTAAATCCTAATATGAAAATCATGACATGCGTGCTATGTAGAACATAACTACATGCTATGCTCATAGCATGCTCAGTGGCTGTTTCACTAGCTTCACGTATACCAAATTTAATATTACGCGGCATGAGTGATAGGCCAACACAAATGTCAGGCGCAAATATATTGTTACGTGATTTAAGCTGACTGAAACAGGGCATAGTAGGACATACCCAAGAAAGGTGCCTCAGACTGAGAGTGAAGAAGTGGACGTTGTCGGTGAGCTTATGTTGGGTGGAGCAGGAACGCAGGATATCGTCAACCACTTTCGAAAGGAACGTACGGCCTCGGTCTGTCTGCAGTTGACGAGGGGCTGCATGCACTAAAATGAGATCGCGTAGTAGAAAATCAGCGACGTCTGTAGCGCAGCTTGTTGGCATTGCTCGCGTAACTGCGTAACGGGTCGCGTAATCCGTAGCCACCGCGACCCACTTGTTTCCGGAGGTCGGATGTTGGGAAGGGACCGAGAAGGTCCAAACCAACACGGAAGAATGGCTCCGATGGGATGTCGATGGGCTGATGATATCCGGAAGGGAGTCCCGACGGCTTTTTGCGACGCTGGCAAATTTCACAAGCGTTGACATAACGACGTACAGAGCGTGAAAGGCCAGGCCAGTAGAAGCAACGGTGCACACGGTCATATGTGCGAGAGACATCAAGGTAACCAGCGGTTGCCGGCGTCATGGAGCTTGCGTAGGACTGTGGAGCGCAGGTGCTTTGGTATGACCAGAAGTAGGTCGTGACCATTGGGCGATAAATTACGCCGATATAAGGTGTGGTCCTTTAAGGTAAACATGCGAACAGAAGCGTCTTGCGGTGAAGATTCAAGCTGTTGTAATAGGCGGCTGATATCCGGATCGCGACGCTGCTCGTCCCCGAGATGAAGCAGCTGGGAGATGGAAAGGACGCAACCCACATAATCAGAGCTCGTAGGATCGCAGTCGGCCACAGGGTAGCGTGACAGACAATCCACATCTTTGTGCAGTTTTCCTGATTTATACACTACGGTGTAAGAATACTCCTGGAGGCGGAGTGCCCAGCAGGGCGAGACGACTTGTGGGATCTTTGAGGGAGGCGAGCCAGCAGAGAGCGTGGTTGGCGGTGAGAACTATAAATGGTCGGCCGTATAGTAAGGGTGAAATTTCGCGACTGCCCACATCAGCGCTAGGCATTCGCGCTCTGTGATGGAATAATTATGCTCCGAGGGGGACAGCAGCCTGCTGGCATAAGCTATCACGCGATGCTGCCCACGTTGTCACTGTGCCAACACAGTGCCTATTCCGTAACCGCTGGCATCGTTGCGGACTTCGGTCGGTGCCGTAGGGTTGAAGTGAGCCAGCACAGGAGAAAAAGTGAGCAAAGTGGTCAGGTCGCAGAATGCTGCTGCTTGCGAGGAACCCCAGGTGAATGTCTCATCTGGTTTGAGTAAATCTGTTAGGGGCCGAGCGGTTTCCGCGAAGTTCTTGATGAACCGCCGAAAATAGGAGCAGAGCCCCACAAAGCTGCGGACATCTTTGGCAGGTTTTGGCACAGGAAAGTCCTTCATAGCTTGAACTTTTTCTGGGTCAGGCTGTACGCCGTAAGCGTCAACAATATGTCCAAGTTTTGTAATGCGACGGCGACCAAACCGGCACTAGGATGAATTCAGCTGAAGGCCGGCGAGACGAAAGACATCAAGAATTTTCGACAGTCTCTCAAGGTGCACTTCAAAAGCGGGAGCAAACACGATCACGTCATTCAGATAACAAAGACACGTAGACCACTTGAATCCATGGAGCAGGGAGTCCATCATCCGTTCAAAGGTGGCGGGGGCATTACATAGGCCGAAAGGCATGACTTTGAATTGGTAGAGACCATCGGGTGTTACAAAAGCTGTCTTCTCTCGGTCCATGGAGTCCACAGCAATCTGCCAATAACCAGAACGAAGATCGATGGAAGAAAAGTAGGCGGC